AGAGAACGAATAATTAATAGTTAATTCTATTTTGTTGACAATAAAATATAATGATTATTTTGATATATATAAATAAAATTCAATACTTACAAACTGTTGATTTAACATATAGATAAAACAGATAACAGAATAGAGAATGAATAATTAATAGTTAATTCTATTTTGTTGACAATAAAATATAATGTTTATTTTTATATATATGAATAAAATTCAACATTTACATGCTATTATTATAAAACGGATAACAGAATAGAGAACGAATCATTAATAGTTAATTCTATTTTGTTGACAATAAAATATAATTTTACAAATTGTTAATTTCAAAGTAAAATACCTTATACTGTGAAAAGATCGGATGTTGTGCTTATTGAAATCTTTAATTAAAAAGGGTTCTTAATAAGTTAAAAGCTATGATAATAGTCTTTAAACTATCAGCACTCATTAAATATGTTTCTGTGAAATTTCTGTGCGTATTTATTATCGAACACAAAAATATATGCACATCAGCCAAGACCGTTATACTTTTTTGCAATTTTGATTGGCTAAAATAAGGTTCAACCAATCAGTAGCGTGTAATTATTACGTGATAATACACTATTTAATGTAAAGTTTCGTAAATTACAACGTAATTTCGTGTAACTAGAGGTGTGAATCGTTATTTGTTGGATATCTAAATAATACCAAAATTAATTCTACCAAAATTATAATAACTAGAGTTACGAATTAATTATACCAAAATTATGTTTACCAGAGATATTAACACTTTAAAGTCACCAGTCTAAAAAATTTCGCTGGCCAATCAAATTTCGAGATCAGGGGTTGCGTGAAAAAAGTTCAAGAAACTAAAACAATCCAAAAATCAGCTGTAACTCGAAATCTTGTTTATGAAACTGCTTAACATAAAGTTTTCCTTGCAAAATTTTGATATAACTATGACCCTCTAAACCTAACCTACTTGTACGTATTACTAATAGATATACTTTAATTAATTTTATATTTATATTTATTTTTTAATAATAAATATTTATTCATATTGTTATGTCCAAGAATAAATTCGAATATTATAAACTTCATAATTGGCCTTCAAGATGGATAACAAATGTAAAAAAAAGCTATTAAAGATGAATAGTCTATAAATTACAAACTATTAAATAATAATTTTACAAATGTTGATGAAAATAATAGTGAAGATAATTCAGATAAGGATATAAACTTCATTATACTTTCTATAAAAGGGAAAACAAATGGTTATAATAAATGATGGATTAGAATGCTGTTTAAATTATCTACTTAAAAGATGAAAAAATTAATGGTGGAAAGTATGTAAAAATTTTTAATATTTAATTAATTATTTTATTTGAAATTATAAACCAAATTGCTCGTGATTATTTATATATACAGATATATCAAGTAAAATTTAAATAACAAGAACATTCAAAAGAATAAAACTACATGCACATAAATTCAGGAAATTTTTTTGTTGGTTGTATTAAAAGCTCATCTCACAAATACAGAAACCTCCTCTGCAGCATGATATATCTCCTGATCGATGTGCTCTAAGACGTTAGACTCTATTTCTGGATTTTTCAGGAGTCATCGGTGTTTGTGTGATTATACTTGATAAAAATTCTTCTCTACTAATTCTATTTTCTTGTGTAATTACGCATGATAAAAATTCTTGCTGTTGCTTTGTGTATCTTTCAATTTCATAAAAAATCTCATCCGTTTGCAGAACTATTTTCTAAAATATATATAAAGTTAATCGTTTGTGCTATCTCAGGTTTAAGGTAAAGAACTTACGTACTTTTATCTGAAAAAAAAGTTCTAACATATATTCAACCTCATTGTTACATTTAGAAGTTGGTATTACAACTTGGCTTATTAAACGGATACGTCCAACACCATTTGAAATTGGATCAAATAGTAATAGTGTTGCCTTTCCATCTGAAAATAAATAGTAATAATAAATAAAATAATTAAATTTTAAATAAAGTAAATAAATAACAAATACCAAAAATGTGAAGGCCCAATATGTTGATTTTTTGAAATAATTCAATAATATGATTGTCAAGATAATCAAATTTTTTAGTATAGTATACAACTATACTATTATATGCATCATTTAAAGACCGTGTTAGTTTATCATAGTCATCACCATTCGTTGGTTCACTAGGTCTTTTGGCTTCACAAATAAGTTTATACAATATTATTTCGGGATCATTCTTTGGTGTATATGCAATTGCTATGTCAATTTTTCGGCTTACGGTTTTTGGTACTTTGGTCTCACCACAGCAATATGGTGGCTTGTGTAAGTTATTTTTACGGTCATAAGAGCATTGACTTTGATGTTCGGGACTAAATGAACGGTATAAAATAACTTTATAATGTAACCTAATTAACATTAAAAATAAATAAAATTATTTACGGCTCAATATGGTTTATGGACAAGTTTTGTCCCATTATTTCTTGTAAAGGGGATAATATATAATTGAACACATATCGAGATTCAGTATATTTCAATGGAGAATTCATCCATTCGATGATCCTAAAATTATCTCAAAAAAATTAAAAAAGGGATTACTTACATGCATTGTTAAATATTTTTAGCATACCATTTTTTTAGGACATTTCCACATGATTGTATTTCATCTTTTGAAATTTCATTTTTAAAAATATTATTAAGAATTCCATTGTCTTGCTGCAGAAGTGAATAAGATTCTGAAATAACATCATGCAAGCTATCTTTCACAGAATCAGAAAACAGGAATTTTCCTGAAACGTTTGCTAATCTGAGAAAATTATTTGCAGAAAAGCAATTCTTCAAGGGCTTTGAGGGTTTGTATGTGTCAATTATTTTACAAAAAAGATTACACGTAATAGGAAGTTGAATAACATCTTCTTCAAAATTTTTAAGGTTGGTTAAATTTTTGAGAACTGAAAAAATATCCTTTTTTACAGAAGTTGGACAAGACTGGAAGTTAAATAAAAAAAGATTATTAATAAAATATTTTGAAAGTATTAAGTTATTAAATAAATGACAGCATGTTGTAACGCCAACTTACAAGAACTTTAATTAGTTCATCTATACAATGTATTTTGTATTTCTTTGTATTATTTTCTACAATTTTATGCTTTTTTTCTTCTGTAATATTTCGAATATAGCTTAAAATATTGTCGAGTTCCGGAATAGTGTTGCATGTCTTGATGATTTGTTCAATTAATGTTCGTGCATCTTATATCATAGAAATTTAGCATTAGTAAAAATTATTGTTATTTGTTAACATATGTCATTTTAGGATTAAATACGTCATTGCAAATTTAAAATTAACATATAATATTAGCATGTTTTTTTTAAAAGTAAGAGTAATACTAAAAATGACTTAGGTTATTTTTCAATCAGTGAAGATTAAAAAAACACATGTCAATTCCGAAATAACGGGAATTGAAAAATAACACGTAACATATCGAAATATGCAATTAGTACAAAATTGATTTTTTTGCAATACTTACTATACATTTTCAATTCACAAAGATCATTTTCTTTGTTATCAGACTTATCTTTCAAAATATTTAACCATTGTTCAAGATATTCAACTTTTACAATGTCTTTCTAAAAATAATAAATATTTTAGTATAGTAAATATAAATTATTCCATATCCACTAAACCTGACAAGTTACTTATGATCTTAGTATAAAAGTTTATATCAGCCAGATTCTCATAAGCTCTTAGTATGAAAATATAACTACATTCATACCCGCCAAACCTGACAAATCCAGGCACCAGAACAGTAAGTTACTTATGATCTTAGCATAAAAAAAAAATTTATACCTGCCAGATTCTCATAAATTCAAGCGCCAGAACTAGAAGCTCTTAGTATGAAAATATAACTACATTCATACCCGCTGAACCTGACAAATCCAGGCACCAGAACGGTAAGTTACTTACGATCTTAGCATAAAAAAAAATTATACCTGCCAGATTCTCATAAATTCAAGCGCCAGAACTATAAGCTCTTAGTATGAAAATATAACTACATTTATACTTGCCGAACCTGACAAATCTAGGTACCAGAACAATAAGTTACTTACGATCTTAGCATAAAAGTTTATACCTGCCAGATTTTCATAAATTCAAGCGCCAGAACCATAGGCTCTTAGTATGAAAATATAACTACATTCATACCCGCTGAACCTGACAAATCCAGGCACCAGAACATTACTTGCCAGGTCATCATTCAAATGCTAACGATATAAGATATGGTTTAAATTACACTCACATAGTAATTATTGATGATTTCGTTAACACATTGTTTCTTATATTTGTTTTTTAATACTTTTTGCAACTCCACTGATAGTTTACAATATGTGGCTATAAATATAAAACTATTAGATAATTATTATATTTTAAATATCGGAATTAATATAACTTACGTTTGTTTAAAAATTCAAATGATCGTAAATACACATCTAGTAAAGGATCTTGGTCTTTGAAGGTTATACGTTTTTTTTGCGAGCAAAAACTTATAAAGTTTATTACAGACAAGTCATTTTCGTTAACTTGCTGCAAGTAAGCAGAAAACAATTTTTGCGCTTCACTAGAAGTAGTGCTGGGCCTCGGTTTGGGTCTAGGTTTGGACATTGGATACTTTGTGACACAAAGTTTGTGTAAACAAAATGCGAGATGACGTATGGCTGATTTTTAGGGTAGAGTACATGTAGATCATTTGTCATATGATCTGCACAATAAATTTAAATTTACTTAAATATGGTGCGAGACATCTAATCACTTACAATAAAAGTTTAATAACTTTTTAAAAAATAATTCTTTTAAAGAAAAACTTTCTATAGTTATGTTTATTGAAACCTAAAGAATATAACTATAGAGTTTTTTTAAAAAAACCTTTTATTAAAAAGTTATTTTAATTTAAAAATTCTTTAATTTTATAATAAAATTAAAAATTCCAGCATTTTATTTTATTAGTAAAAGATAAAATTTCAGCACTTGTATTATATATTTTAAATAAATTTAACATTTTCTCTCTTTTTTTTTTTATTCATGCTCTTTTAAAATTTCAGCACTATTAAATTATTATATAATTTTATATAATTTTTAGAATTCAGCGCTATCTATATAATTCTTAAAATTCAGCACTATCTATATATATTTCAAAATTCAGCGCAATGATGTGATTAGATGTCCTGCACTATATATAGATTAAAGTAGGTTATTTATTATGACCAAATTTTGGAAGCAATATTGTTCTAAAAAATATACTTGTATATATTATAAAATCCTCAGTGGTAAACCCAAATTCTCAGTGGTAAAATTCTGATTCGTCTATGATTATCATATGATTTTATAATATATTTAGAATACCTAAACTTTAAATAAACATATCTTAATGAATTTTAATCCGAATTTTGTAATTTTACTATCATTAGAATCAGAAAAATCGGTTTTACAATTTTACTTAAAGGTCTAAAAATAGTTAAATTAGTAAAAAAAAAATTAATATTATGAACAAAATTTGCAGTTAAAGTCATATGACAAATGATCTATGTGTACTCTACCCTTGATGATTTTTGTTGATCAGACCCCAAAAATTGGTTTAATTCTGGTCAAATTTGCAGATCATTTGGCCCAGACAATGAGTTTTAAAAACTCATTGCCTAGGTTATTTATTTTCAAGATGAAAAGTTTTATCATATGGATAGGGTTGCGTTATATCAATTACAATTTTATATTGCATGTAATTTTACGTAAGTTTCAGAAAATTAAATTTCATGTAATTTTCATCACGTTATACATATAATCCCCCGATCACTATATCAAGATCACGGGAGGATTAATTAATAATACCCTGACCATATGTGAATAAGCGGAAACTTCGTTTCCGCTAATTCCCAATGGATCAGGATATTATTATTACAAGTAACTAGGGTTGTTAAATTTCATGTAATTTACTGATGTAAATTAATCGTAACTTACATATGTAAATTATTTGTAAGATAAAACTATGAAATTTGGCCTAAATTGTACTTAATTTAGGCTATGGCTTAATAACACTTTCGCCTCAATTCTGTAAACGCTATTTATTACGTAATTTATTTGTTACACAATTTTTTTTGAATAAAAAAAATTGCGTAATTTATTTGTTATGTAACTTTTTTGAATAAAAGAAATTGCGTAATACTTATTAAGCTAATGTTGGTAGAAATTGTCATATGATTCGGCCAGCTTTAGTAACTTACATAAGGGCCAATGTAAGTTACAGCTAACTTACCGTAACTTACCATGTAAAGTATGTTGTCAGGTAAGTTTTAACAACCCTAATTCTACCAAAATTGTGTTTACCAGAGTTACTAATTAATTCTGCCAAAATTATGCTTACAAATTAATTTACCAAATTATGATCACCAGAGTTATGAATTAATTCTACTGACATTATTGTTATGAATTCTACTGACATTATCGTTATGTTTACCAGAATTACGAATTAATTCTACCAAATTATGTTTAGGCCACTCCAAATTGATTCTTCGTTTAACATAACATAAAATGTGTAAGAGGGGGGTGGGCATTGAAAAACAAACCAATACTGCAATTTTATTGGTTGATTTTACATATATTGGTTATATAAAATTTAAAAAATTGAGGGAGGCAAATACTATTAATTACTATTAATGTGTATTGGGTTCATATAAATTTTAAAAAATAGGGGGGACTATGTTAAACGAAGAATCAAATTGGTCTGGCCTTACCAGAGTTACGAATTAATTCTACCAAAATTATGTTTACGAATTAGTTCTAACATAGTTATGTTTACCAGAGTTATAAATTAAATTATACCAAAAGTATGTTTACCAGAGTTACGAATTAATTCTACCAAAATTATGTTTACCAGAGTTACGAATTAATTGTTGTCTCTGTACTTGTTTTACGATTCTAATTTCTTTAAGTTTTCTTAGTAACAGGTTTCTTCCTATTTGTTTGTATGAATAAATAATTTCAATTTCCAAAGAATCTTACAGACAAAAGCTGTTCCTACTATTCCTTTAGAATTTGTATCATAATCTTTAGATGATAATAATTTATAGTTTTTTTTAAAAGAAATTTTGTATAATAGTCAAGAATTTAAATAAAGTTGTTATAGCGTATAAAAATTAGGCAATTCCTATTTGTACACGGAGTGTATGTTATAGATATCTCAAAATTATGATTATGAAACCACCTTTTGGTTTCTAACAAAAAAATTCCTTTGTGAAATTTTGGTATAAGCTATACCTTGCCCAAATTCCAAAACCACCCTTACCCTAATCATAAGCGAGGGTTTAATTTTTTCATTTGTAAAAAATATTTGTTTGGAATGTCACATGAATTTGTAATTCGATAAATTAGATCCGCGTATAAACACTATGTGAAACTAATAAATTTTCTAAAAATTATTATTTATTATTATTTACATTTTTCCTTTAAATTTTTTTCTTGCATTTCTTACATATTGTAACACATTTTCACGATCCCATGATGAATCAAGATGAGACAAAACTTCATTTATATCAGAATTCGCAGGCGTTGAACTTAAAAACTTCATAGCAAAGACATCTAATATACTTTTTTCACTATCTTTTGTAACCCTCCGGACCTTTTTCTCGGAAAATTTGTCAGATAGTGTAAAATTACATTTTCTCTTTCGTGAATTTCGTGAATTACCTTCCTCATTGTCATGATTACTTTGTGAAGAAGATAAATCAGGAATATTATTCTCAACCGGGCTTTTTATCGACTCAAAGATTGGAGTTGGGTTGAGTTTAGATGATATAACTTTGGATTTAGTAATTCTTTGAGTAAATAATTCTTGAATTTGAGCATAAGTATAAATATTAACTTCACGATCTCTTCTTCCGTATGTATTACGTGGCTCTGTGCCATAAACTTCTTGTTTTAAAAGAGCCTCCATACGCGATTTTCCTTTTTCGTAAGCCGTAAATAAAAGATTATATCCATTAAAATTTAGTTCTGGCGAAAAGTACAATAATTTGTGCATTGTCTGATTTGGATTTTCGAATAAGTTTAGAATTTCCAAAGCTAATGTCCACATTTTTTCTTTTCGTGAAATAACTATATTTTCTGATGTATATTCGTTCTTATACAAATCTAGGAATTCGGTTAAAAAAAGTTGAATACGTGCATTTTCAGATTGAACAGATTTAATAAATAATTTTAAAGTTTGATCATCTAATGGACACTGAGTCATAGAGTGCTTTATATATTTTATAAATATTTCCACAGCTTCGTCATGTGCAAAATAATGATCTTCATGACGTATATTGACCGAAGCTGCGTGGTTTAAAAGGGCTTCTAACTGTGAGTCATTATCTATTTCTGTTAAATAATGGCAAACTGAAGTAGCATAATTCATTTTCCCAGCCACAGTAAACAATGCTGCAAAGGCTTTAAGAGCATGTATTTGCAATGCAAAATTACCAGTACGGATTCCTATTTTATGTGCTTTCCAATATCCTGTCCATTTCCAAAATAATGCCCACGTTGAGCAATAATTATTTGACCATCCATCTAAGAGAAAATCAATAGTAACTTGTTTTTTTGCAGCATATAAATGAAGTGCTATTCCTACTGAAGACCAAATGAGATCTAAGGTTAGGGAAGCTGCTCTATATTCTATAACCTTTTGAAAATTACCAAGATATTTGGCCCCAAGCGCTGCAGCAAAATTAAATATGCCATACCCTGAAAAAATATTAATAATTGCACTAATCATATTCTTACTGGTATGCCACGAACCAAGTAAAGTACGTGTATAAGGATTGATATCTCGTTTATAATCTAATGTTCTACGAAAAATAGATTCATCTGAAGCAATATCTAAATATTCTTGAATTTTGATTCGACCTGTGAAATTATCATGAATCCTATTTTTTGTCAGTTCTATTTCATCGCTATACATCTCACATGATTCAAAAATTCCTTCGTCGTCATTTGGTTCACCACCAGCTTCCAATATTACTATATTAGGTGAATCTATAGAGCATCCCTTAGTAATGAATGATAAAATTTTTTTATGTATATTTGTGTTATCAAAATCATTTTTAAATGAAAAGAATGGAAAGAAAGTACAACCAAGTGATTCCTTAAACACATGGCTAAAAATATCTAAGATTTCTAAAATATAGGATGAAATCTCAAATATTGGTCGCATTTTATTTGATAGCATGATAGCACGAGCCTCACTAATTCCATAAATAGGTACTGGCATTGTATACTGAAGTACCATCCGCAAAGTTGCATGAAGGGTCTTTCTTGGAATATCAAATATATTTCCAAACTTAAATGACTGTGGGATAAAGTCAATGTTGTCTATGACAGCTAGATTCCAGATCCTTGGTCCAGATAATAAATTTTTATGTGGTTCAACCATCTTCATTCTTTGCTTTTCTAAACGACTTTCTTGCTTTTGTGTGTGTGCTACAATATATACTGAATGTAATACGGCCTGTAATGATGCTAAAAAATTAGGACGCCTACAAATACTTGCCAATAAATAAGTTACCCAAAATTTTTTTCCTTTATATGCTATTGTTAAGATAATCGACACAAAAAAAGTCACAATACGCACTAAAATCATAGGATCTTGATATATTGGGGTGGCTTTATGTTGCCTTTGTGTCGTATCAAATCGATGTTTAAGTAATATACTAATCATTCCACGAAAAAAAAACGTAACTACTTCAGGTAGTTTATTATAATATTCAAGAAGAGAGGTTGGTGATTCTAATACTTTTTCATGTTCTTGAATATATTTATTTTCCTGAAGAATTGATTTGCCTAATTGTTGCCCAAATCGTAGAGAATCCTCCGGACTTAATTTAGTTAGTCTTTTTTTTACTAAATTTTCTGCTTCTCCTAGTTTCAAACAAGTGTTTATTATAAAGACACTCGGGGGAATGGTTGAACTTTGAGATTTAAGATTATTTGATGGTTGTTTATTTTGCCAATAAACAGTCAAGGAATGTGTTAATTTAATAAGTAAATCACGTTTTAATTCTTCTTTCGACGAGGCCGCTACATCTAAAATCCAATTTCCAATAATATGTAATCCTGAACTTGTTTCGTTTTTATGTTCTAATGTACAGTCTAACATCATTTTTCCTTGTCCTGGAGGTGTATGAATATGACCACCATTTATGTTGATACAAGCTTGACAAATGTAACTTGGAAGGTAATAATTTTTCTCTACGTTTAATCTTTCACAAATTACTGATTCATCTGTATGTAATATTTTACAAGTGTATAATGCAAGGCAGGGCAATAGAATGTCTTTTCCTAATATCCTCCAAGCATGAGCTTTACAATTAATTCCCCTTGTAAACACATGATAATCTTGATTACAGAAAAGGCAGTTCTTAAATGAAATTATTGCTGAAGTAATATTAACTTCATTTTTTAACCCTGTTTGATGAAAATCCGATCTCTGATCCATATTAAAATGAAAATCGCAAACTCCAAGTTTTCCACAATTATCACCAACATCATTTAAGCATTTTGAATTTATTTCCCAATTCCCAATTAAATTCCATAATCTTCGAGCACTTGGTTTGTTGCAAGCTTCCGTCTTCATTGTTTTTGGGTTTAGAGTCATTATGGAACAAATATCATGAAAGTCTTTCTTCTTCTTATCAATTAAAACTTCAATTGGTTTATGACCAATTTTATAATTTTCTTTACAAAAGGTTAAAAAAATTAATATGAAGCTTTACTCTTAAATAATTTAGGTGAAAATATAATTTTACCCTCTTCATAGTCAACATCCATTCTATGATTTAGTAAATTCTCTTCGTCGGGTTTTTCATTGTTCTCTTCACTAGAATAATAGTCACTTTCTTCACTCTTTTCTTTAAAATGTTCTTTATTAATATTAATAAAGAATTGTGCCATTTCAGGTCCTCCAACATCGTCAAAAAAAGCTAGAAATGCATCTTCAACTTTATCATTTTTTTGATCGTATACTTCAGGGATAAGAAATGATTTAATGTCTTCATTATTTGCATTCATAGTATCTCCGAAAGACTCCGGTTAAGAGCAGATTAAAGCTTGACTTTCAAATTTACAAGGCCACAAAAATGTTTGTATATTATAATAGATGATCATTAAACATTTTACTTAGAATCACAATGATAGTCATATGGCAATTTGTCACGGAATATTAAGTTGCAAATTTGTCATTTTCTTCAAGAACGTAAAATTTGTCTTATTGCTGGTCAGTTATAGAAATTACGCTGCATGTGATGTAAATCAATGCCCCTGAAAATTCACACGTATTAGGGTAATTCTTTTTTTTCTAATTAAAATTATTTCTTGTAAAATTTTTATATTTAATCTGTAGATGTTATGCGTAACGAACTGTATAGCGATAGGGATGTCAAAAAGTTCATCGGGTCCATTCCCGGTCCGGTACTTAAAAAATCTGGTCATGAACTAGTTAGGAACTAGTTCATAACCCTTGTTAATCCTAGCGATTTGATGTACTGTATATAACAATAGTGAATGAGTATTGTGTTCTAATTATAATTACATGGAGGATTGTATAGAATTCGTTCGTACTGTATTATAATCGTAATTACATTTGGGATCGACGTAAATTAGCTAGTTAGAAGACCTTGAGATCACAAAATTATAGGATTAGTTTCTGAACTGTACCTAGAAAGTCCAGTCCCAGACCTCATCGTGGACCACTTAACATTCCTAGTAGTGTCCAGACATATGCGATTTCAGGGATTTTCATGAAAATCCCTGAAATTGCATAAGTCTGACACGTCTGACACTCTACGGTTAAGTGTAGATTAAAGTTTGAATCTCAAATTTATGAAACAACAGAAATGTTTGTATATTATAACAGATGGTTGTCAAGCTTTTTATTTAAGCTTGCTTTGATATTTTCTAGCAATTTTTGCAGTAAATTGAGAAGTTTTTTTCTTCACACGAGATCACATGTTTGCAGGTCACGAGTTTGACATTTAATACGGTTAAGCGTAGATTAAGGCTTGAATTTCAAATTCATGAAGCCACTTAAATGTTTGTACATTACAACAGATGGTTATCAAGCTTTTTATTTAAGCTTGCTTTGATATTTTCTGCAGTAAATTGAGAAGTTGTTTTCTTCACACAAGATCACATGTTTGCAGGTCACGAGTTTAACATTTAATACGGTTAAGCGTAGATTAAGGCTTGAATTTCAAATTCATGAAGCCACTTAAATGTTTGTACATTACAACAGATGGTTATCAAGCTTTTTATCTAAGTTTGCACTGATATTTACCTAGCAATTTTGCAGTAAATTGAGAAGTTTTTTCTTCTCTCGAGATCACATTCACATGTTTGCAGGTCACGATCTTGCATTTAATACGGTTAAGCGTAGATTAAAGCTTGAATTTCAAATTTATGAAACCACTTAAATGTTTGTATATTGCAACAGATGGTTATCAAGCTTTTTATCTAAGTTTGCTCCGATATTTATCCAGCAATTTTTGCAGTAAATTGAGAAGTTTTTCTTCACTCGAGATCACATGTTTGTAAGTCACGAGTTTTATTTAATACGGTTAAGTGTAGATTAAAGCCTGAATTTCAAATTTATGAAACAACTTAAATGTTTGTATATTACAACAGATGGTTATCAAGCTTCCTATCTAAGTTTGCTCCGATATTTATCTAGCAATTTTTGAAGTATATTAAGAAGTTTTTTCTTCACTCGAGATCACATGTTTGCAAGTTATGAGTTTTATTTAATACGGTTAAGTGTAGATTAAAGCTTGAATTTCAAATTTATGAAACCACTGAAATATTTATATTATATAACAGATTATTATAAAACTTTTCGCTTAAATTCGCAATAATATTTATCTAGAAACTTTTGTAGTAAACAGGATACATGTATCATTCTCAAAGAAGTCACATGGTAAATCGTTGCTCTCTAAAATTACATTAAAGATCACATGTTTCCGAGCCACGAGTTGCCATTTACATGGTTAAGTGCAGATTAAAGTTGGATTGAAAATTAATGTTTACAATAGCACCCTGGGTTGTAAACTTAATTCCAATTGTTTTGTTTTAATAATATAATTCGATGATAAAATTTTATGCACAGTATAAAAGAAATGTAATAAAATTTAGTTTTTAAAAAACTTTATATACAAATTTATGATATAATGTTGCTTTCTTACAAAATTATTTACTCACGTTATCGTTATAGTAAGAAAATGTAAAATCGTGATCATTAATCTGCATTTTCTTCACAGTTTGAAACTGATGAATATTTTTTACATATATCAATATTTATGCTATTATTCAACTCATCTAATTCTGATTTTCGGTGTTAATTTCGATGTCAATCTCTTCAATCTCTTGGACTCATAGTGGACAATGGATTTATTAAATATACTAATTTTGTCTAAAATTGTATTTTAATTTTGCCTGAATTTATAAAATAAAAAGGAACCAATTTTTGATTCATGTAAACACTTAAAATTGATTTTATAGCTTCTTCATAAATTCATGTTGCACTTAACCTAAAAATTAGGGTTTACAATGGTCCAGTTTGCTTGGGCACGAATCCTTTACATCACCAGCCAAAATAATACAATTCATTAAAAAGTTAGCACATCAAGCTCAGTTCATTTTCCGACGGCATCAAGATGCCGTCGGAGGATCAAAATTATAGAATAATATATATTTGATGTAACTTTTCTTGTGCTAAGATAAGAGTTATTAATCACACCACATGTCAAATACGACTTAAAGTTCCTAATTAATTCTACCAAAATTATGTTTACCACAGTTACAAATAAATTGGCAAATTATGTTCACCAGAGTTACGAATTAATTCTACTGACATTATGTTTACCAGAATTACTACCAAAAGTATGTTTACCAGAGTTACGAATTAAATTCTACCAAGATTATGTTTACCAGAGTTACGAATTAAATTCTACCAAGATTATGTTTACCAGAGTTACGAATTAAATTTAGGGTTGTTAAATTATGTGATTTAGTAAATTGAAAGTTCATTTAGGAGTTACAATTCGGATCGTACATTCAAATCAAACGATGCAATAATGCTGGCAGAGCTTTTGTAAGCCTGGTATTTTATGTATAACGTAATGAAAATTACATGAAATTTAGTTTTCTGAAACTTACGTAAAATTACATGTAATGTAAAATTGTAATTTATGTAACCAACCCTAATTAAATTCTACCAAAATTATGTTTACCAGAGTTACGAATTAATTCTACCAACATTATGTTTACTAAAGTTCGAATTAATTCTACTGAAATTATGTTTACCAGAGTTGCGAATTAAATTCTACCAAATTATGTCTACCAAAGTTACGAATTAATTTTATTAAATTATGTTTACCAGAATTACGTGTTCTATGATTCTATTTTCTTTAAGTCTTCTTAGTAACGGGTTTCTTCCTGTTCGGTTGTATATTCTTTGTTGTTCCGATTCCGGAAATTGCTGGCTACACATAATTTTTTAAACTGTAATAACGATAACTGATGCAATCATAAATGAAGATTATACATCATAGATAAATGAAGATTATACATCATAGTATTTCAGCATCGGTGGATGCTGAAATAAGTCATGTGATTAGTCAGTTAAATATAGATATCTAGACCCAAATCCGTTATATTATGTGCCAAAATATTACCAGGTTAGCATATCGGAGAATGAGCTGAGTTCAAAATTATAGAATATTATTTGATGTGCTAAATAACGATAAGAGTTATTAATCAACAAAATTTTCTTTACACTGTTCGGTCCCTAATCGGTCCCATCTAAATTACTCAAACTTCTATTAGAGACTGCTATAGAGAAATAACTTTTTTATAACTTTATTGAATGAATACTAGTTAAAAATATCAATTTTCCTCAAATCTTGCTCAACATCCCTAGTATTCATAAAAATTTAAATAAACTTATATGTAACTTATAATTGTAATGTGCGTACGTACACGTTTAATTTAGCAACTATTTGTGCCGTGATTGTATAAAGGTATTTTTATTAGTAAAAAATTAAAAAAGTGTGATAGTGATTATAAGTCATTTATGATTATATAAAGGTATTTTAAATCTTAAAAAATGGTAGTAAAATTTTATGTAATTATATAGAAGTTGTGACTATAGATGAGGTGATTGTAGAGGAGGATGACAATAATATAATTAGCTTTCATAACTTACAGCAAACTTTTTATTGAATCAAAAATAAAATAAAATAAAATTTGAAAAATTGTCAAAATGGGATATTACAGTATTATTAACATTGTCATCTTTGGAAAGTGCAAATTAATAAATATTTATTACAGCTTAGCTTCACATTTAGTCTTTAGCATGCTGTTTATAAAGTATTTTAATAAAATTTTTTAAACCAATTCTTGTCATGCCCTAATTATAAACTTATATTGTAGTTGTAATAATTTTATGATTTTGTCGTAATGAGAAATTTTATTTTTTTTGTTAGTGAATAAAAAGTAAATTTTCTTTATCTACCAAAATTATTTTGCCAGAGTTATAAATAATGTAACTAATTACATTTTTACTTTCATGTATTCTAAGTGGATATTGGAATTTACATTTTTACTTTCATGTATTCTAAGTGGATATTGGAATTGGGCTTGGTTCAAAACCACGACCAACAATATCCTGAGACGATCGGAAATTTAGCGCGAAGTTAAAGAACACGAAAGAAATGAAATAAACTCAAATATAAATTCAAATATAAACTGCATAATATAATTGTAAGTGATCGATCAGAAGAAAGTTAGTCTATAGCTTCACAACTCATGATCGGATATGCCGGAATTGATTAATTTTGCCCAAGCAAAAATGCCCAGCTGATAATTTTGCTATACGTAGCGATGGAATATGTTAACTGTCCTAGCGTTACCGACCTAAAAAATTTAGCTGGCCAATCAGATTTCAGGAACAGGTGTTACGCAGAAGATTGTTCATTTTATTTATGAAACTACCTTATGGGTATTAATAAAAAAATTTCCTTACGAAATTTTAATATTAGAAAAACTCTTTCTAACATAAATTAATAGCAAAATCTAACACTAATCTAGCAGCGAAATTTTTTAGATTGGTAACGCTAGGACAGTTGACTGTGTTGACTAAATCGCTTAATGCCGATGCAAATAAAATTTTCTTTGAATTTGCGGGTCTAATTATGTGTCATATATGTTACGCATCTATTTTTTGAATTTTTATTATGTTTACAAAAATTATTAAACTTTTCCGCATATTGAAACAAAATCGAATTTTAAACACTGTTTCCGACCCTGAATTTTCGTCACACCTTTTATAATTATTTCTACGTAGATGTGCATATTTAATAAAATAGTATATTGTGTTCAGTATCGTTATAAATGCTACGTAGTACGCAAATAAAATGATATCGATATATTGTGTTCGGTTATAAATGCTAGTATGCACGTACCGTACGCACAAAGTCACTAATTCTATCAGCTATTTTTTTGCAGAATTTATTACAAAAGAACTTTGACTCAATGGGAGATTTAAAATTGCCAACACCATATAATGATGTTGTATTACCGAATGCATGGAGGGTTGAAAATAAATCAACATTCATTGACATAGATTCAAGTGGACTTAAAGTGAGTTATACAGGTAAATGAACATTGAAACAGATTAACATTTAGAATTATTGAGCGTAAATCGTTGATAACTCAACTAATTTATCAAAAATTTAAAGATCCTGATGATAATAAAGCTATTATCATTCGAGCAAATCATCCAATTCCTTTAGAATGTGTGATATTTTACTTTGAAATTGAAATTATAGATAAAGGAAAAAATGGGTATGTCGATAATTATTTTATTTCATCATATTGCCTTTATTATTACGATTTTTTTTATAAACCTTTAATTATATTTATTAATAGAATGATTGGAGTTGGATATTGTACAAAGCAAAATGATAAAGAAGTAGACGATAAAGAAGTAGGTGATAAAGAAGTAGGCGATAAAAATGTAAAACCAAAATTTATAGATGACATGCTCATGCCAGGTAATGATAGATTTTATTCCATTTTTTATTAAAATAAATTAACATCAAATATCATACATAATATCCTTTAGGACAAGAAAATGGATCGTGGGGGTGTGGTTACCATGGTGACGATGGATACTCTTTTTGTTCTGGAAGTGGCGAGTCGTATGGACCAACATATACTACCGGTGACATTATTGGATGCTATTTAAACTTTTTAAAGAAGGTAGTATTTTATACTAAAAACGGAGTCAACCTAGGTAATTAACATTTTAAAAATTAAACTTTATTCTTTACAAAGCAAAATAAGTAATATTTATAACATATTTTAAGGAATTGCGTGTCGTCTTCCTGATGATTTCAAAGGCATTATATATCCATGTGTTGGATTTAGATCGCAAGGCGTGTCTGTAAAAGTAAATTTCGGTCGTGAAACGTTCAAATATTCTGGTAAATTGTCTAAGTGTCTATTCACTAACTTATTTAGATATTAACTTTGTTTATATATTTATCTCAATTAACAGCGATGACCAATGAAGACATTAGTAAAACATTAAATAATAATATATTAACAAGGTCAAAAGATATATTTAACAAAAAATCAAATAATATATTAATATTGAAATATCAAGAAAAGGTTCATTTTATTATAGGCGGAAATGAAAGTGTACTTGTTAATTTAACAGGTGAATTAGCAAAATCATTACACGTAGAAAAAATGCAAAATATTCAAGGATATATCTTTTTCCTTATGGGAGAATATAATAAAGCACTTGAAGCTTTAACTAAACTGACAGAAATTGATCCAAATAACATAAATGCACTAAGATGTCGAAGAGAAATTTACTTTATAATGAAAAAATATAATGAATTAAATGATGAATTAGAGAAATTATTAAAAATTAAGTTCGGTGTCAAATGTGCAACAAAAGCTCGTGAATCAATTAGTGAGTTGTAAGTCAAATGTACGTTTGTAAATTTTAAGTTTTAAAACTTATTTCTAATCCCCATACTTTTGTCACCTATGTAGTCTGTAAGTTCTTTGCGGCATATTTTTTTACAATAAATTATTGTACGTATCAATACCTAACGAATGTTAATTATACTTTTTGTCACTTCTACAGCTCGTAAGTTCTTTGCGGCATATTTTTTTACAATAAATCATTGTACATATCAATACCTAACGAACGTTAATTATACTTTGTCACATATGTAGTCTGTAAGTTCTTTGCGGCATATTTTTTTACAATAAATTACTGTACGTATCAATACCTAACGAACCTTAATTCTAACTAATCCCATACTTTTTGTCACTTCTACAGCTCGTAAGTTCTTTGCGGCATATTTTTTTACAATAAATCATTGTACATATCAATACCTAACGAACGTTAATTATACTTTTTGTCACATATGTAGTATGTAAGTTCTTTGCGGCATATTTTTTTACAATAAATCATTGCATGTATCAATACCTAACGAACGTTAATTATACTTTTGTCACTTCTACAGCAAGTAAGTTCTTTGCGGCATATTTTTTTACAATAAATCATTGTACATATCAATACCTAACGAACGTTAATTTTAACTAACCCCATACTTTTTATAAGCAAATTCTCCTATTTGAAGTTGACAAAGACTATGAAATTTTTCAAGTGTAGAAGAGAACATAAGATAATTAGTCACATAGCATAAAGTAGTTATGTTTGGATAATTTTGACTAAGCAAAAAAATAATTTCCTCTTTTATTTCATTGCTTAATTCCTTCTCATTTATTATAAAAAATTTTAGTGATTTGCATTTTGTCTTAAGTATAATTCTATTTAATTCTAAAGTATTATCTATTAATTCGAGTCTCTGAAGATTTTGTAAATTATTTTCATCTTCTCCAAAAGGATTTCCAAAAGAATGTTTTATTGATAAAACTTCCAAGTTTGGCACAAGATTTGCGAGATTATCTTTATCAAATTTGATTCCTTGCAAAATTAGTTTTCTAAGGCTTTGAGATTTTGCTTGCAGCATTTCACGTCGCATTAAAGGCATAAAACTAGAAGTGGTAATACTATAATATTTTAGCACAAGTTCCTTGAGTTCAGTTTGAGCACTAATTAAATTTAAAAATGGTTCTCGACAATTTGGTGGTATATCTTCGTTATAAGTAATAATATGAATAATTTGAATTCTTTTGTTTCTTATAGAAATTAAGTTAATATAATTGTATACATTCGTGTTTTGAATATTTGGAACAACAAATTTAAATTCGCATTCTCTCAATTCTGATGAATTGAACCATGAGCTAGGGATTAAAGAAAATGATGAGTTATCTTCAGCTAAAATATTGAGTTTCTTGATTCGCTTACAACTTCGAAACAACATGCTTTGGATAGTCATAAAAGTTGGAATTTCTAAACTAGGCTTAGATATATCTTGAGTATATTGATACCACAATGAGATAACATTTTTTATCTTGCAGCTAGAATAAGTCTCTAAAAATTTAGCATATTCAAATAATGTTTTTTGGAATATACATGATAGATCAACTTGATACGTATTCGAAGTCAATTGATATTTTTCATTTTCATTAAGATAGGAAAGATAAATAGATATGATATTTATAGAATGCTTGGATACATTATATAAAGGGTCAGCCCATAATAAAGGCACTGTTATGCGACAAAATAAGCGGTTAACTAAAAGACAGTTATATAAAGTGTGGTAATTATGTTCAAAGTTTTTGATAATTTCTAAATAACAATCGTCTGTTAATTTTGTTAATTTCATTTTGACATATATTTTAATACAGTATATAGGAAATGCAGGTTTATATAAAATACAACGCTATTCAAGAATAGCGAACACCTAATTGTCATAATATGCGGAATTAATTTTTTTTTTATTGGTAATCCATCTTAGTTTTACACTCTTGCACAATACAGGTAATTAAAATTTTCCAATTTAAATATGAATTATTTAATTACAATGTCAATGAATTGAAATATAAATTATTCAGTAAATAGATTGAATTGTTTAAATTCTACTCGTACAATATATAGATTTAATTTATAATTTATTTATAATTTATATATATATAGTGATTATTAATCAATTAAGCATTAAAGCAATCAAGGTATCTAGAAAATATGTATATTTCCTTAAGGACTTTCAATGAAATTACCTGTTTATCGAAATATTTGTTTTTAGTGTTGGCAGCAATAGATAAATAGAACATTAAAACAATAGAATAGAGCAATAGAATTTAGAATAAAACAAAAATTTTATCAATAGAACAAACAATTGACAAGATTATAATTAGTATTAATTTAGAGTGTCCAAATTATGCGATTTCAATTCGATTTATATTGTTTAAAAATAATAGCGATAAGAAAATCCCTGAATCTGGACACTAAACAGGCACAGAGATACATTGTAGCGGGCATGTAAGACACATGACACTACCAGTATCTCTGCGTCCACCGACGCAGAGATAGTGTCATGTGATATTAATGTTAACATTAAGTCGATTAGAGATATGAACTGTTACTTAATATGGTTTTTTTTAAAGTAGATATGGTACTATACCGTATTTCGCGTAATAACACTCATGAGCGTTATTTCGAAGATTGTGCCCTCAAAATATTATTTATATAGTTTCAAAATAACGCCCATATGAGTTCCAAAATAGCGTGCACCCCATAGTAAGGGATATTTATTTATAGTAAGATTTAAAAAAATCCAGTTCCGACGCATTTTTTGTTTGTCTACTTTTTATATAAATACTTAAATTTTTTTTTTCTCAAAATAACGTTCACGCCTTTAGCTATTCCCCAAAATTGATATATGACTATCACTTATAAGTATAATAGTATCAAAATAATTTACATTTTTTTATTGATATATTTAACAACCAAATTTTGTTTTTATAAAGATATTCATTAGTTGATTAGTTGATTAGTTATTATATAAAATCTCAAAATCTGATTAGCTGGCCCAAAGCCACCTTTTGCTGTGGGCACCCCAATATACACAGGCAATAGAAACATTAGTTAATTTAGGTTATTGATGAGCATTAAAAACAAAAGTCGCGAAAATAATACAATTAATTAAAAACTCCGTTCGTTCTTCGACGGCATCTTGATGCCGTAGGAGAATGAAATGAGTTCGGAAATAATAGAATATTTATGAAGTGACTTTCTTGTGTTAAAATAAGTCATTGATCACAATTAATGTCAAATGCCAACTTAAAGTTTACCATAATGTTTATATTTTCTAAGTTAACTTCAAGATAACCGCTTACATTAAGCATAATTTAGGCCGAATTAAGCTTAATTTAGGCCAAAATATTAAACTACACCGTGGGGCGTTATTTTGAGATGATAATTTTAATAACTTCATATTTAAAGATATAATATATTCCTTGACAAAATCCATTATTAGGAGACACAGTGAAAAATACACAACTGCTCTAAACTGTATAAATACAATTGTAAGTGATTGACCAATAGAAGGAAGTTATTCTATATAGTCACGTTAGGATTATCGTTATCAGTACTATATAACTAGATATTCAATCACACTCCATGATCATCCTCTCAATTGAATTTTTTTCACTTAACGTTAACGTTAAACAATGGAGTTTAAAAGCCATAGTTTCTACGTAACTGCAATATCAAAATTTGCAAAACGTCCCTATCATCAATACTTTAAAAATAAAGAAATAACTTCTTGGAACTTGTACGACTTTTTACTTTATAGATTCAAACAACGTGATTTTAATATCGATTCACGGATGGAAAGTGGATATTATCTGAGTTTTCTAGAATATTTTAAAAATGAACATAGTGAAGAAAGCGAATTTCTCATAAAGGAATATAAGGTAAATAAGAACATATGCAAGTATTTATAAAATAGCATTGTTATTATTCATACTAATTCAAATTTTAAGCATTATAGAATTGCGTGACAACAACAAAAATAAAGATCTGGTGGGATGTTATCTCCGGAAATGATGTAGAAGAACTTCAATTGGCGATTGATACAGCATTGAACTTAAAAGATAATTATTGTCAAACTGAGTGTGTAAAGGTATTAGTGAATTCTACTGTTATTTGTTATAGTTATGCAAATGATAATTTAATATTTAAATAGAATGAGAAGGTTCCATTATCAAACAGATTGGATCTTTATGAAATATTTATAGATCGAATAAATTCAATAGATGATGACGATATCAAGTATTTTGAGTAAATAATTTTATCTATTGATGTTAATGTTTATATACTTATTGGTATATGATTTTATATTAACGTCTGTTTTTTCTAGTCCTATTAAAAGTAGCATTATTTGCGTTTACAATTTCGACTTTCGGCTAAAAAAAAAATTATCTAAGGAGGATTTGGACCGTCTATCGGAAAAATTACCCTTTGCTGTCAACCACCTTAACGATTCATACGTTAAGAAATATATTGATGATATTTTAGCCTGGTATACAGATTTAAACACCGCACCACTGCGAATTAATTCAAAAAAGCCGGAAATTTCTCCAAATTGCAGCTATGAAGAAAAAATACAATGTAAAATATATCAAACCATATTGAACCATATGTGAGTAAAAACTAAGTATTATATTCCATATGCAATTTAAGGTATTCTAAAATTTCTTTATCAGGGAGCAATCAATTTGGTTAAATTCTTACAAAGTGGATAGAATTAGTGAACAACAATATACAGCTGATACAATCTATAGCTTTATTTTCAAATCCTTAACGCATATTAATGATAAACTTTATACATTTTTGTAAGTATAAACTTAAGTTTTCATTCATTTTGTGTTATTTTTTAATCAACTTTATAACTTCAGTGGAGAAATAACGTCAATCGGATCTTCGCAAAGAAAACGGATTTATAAATTGCTTGGGTTAAATAAGAAAAAAAGTGTAATTGGTCGTCGTTGTGATTTGCTTTTATGTGACCAATATGACTATGTACATTTAGTTGGTGAAGTAAGCGGGCCACCTTTGAAAAAACTTCCTAACAAGGAAAGATTCGACCTTGGTAGAAACAATCGCAATGCGAAGGATGAAAAGAGCCTTTGTGAATTGGCTATAGTGGCAGAATTCGGACCAATTCTGGATGAATCAGACTTAAATATTTTATTAAATGAATTATATGTATTTATGATTCAAGTAAAACGTATGGATTTTCATCTTTGAGGAGTTTAAAATCACCATTAATTAATACTATAATATATTATACAGAAAAAACAATAGAAACATCCGTATTGGACCATATGATGCATAAAGTCTATCGTTCAAGACTCTTAAATAAGGCTGAAATTCCCCTGGAGAAAAAGAACATTGATAAAGTTGACTTTTTACAATTTTTATTTACTATTTACGAACTGATTGTAAGTGAACATTATGCCTTAACCTCATTTAAAATATTATTACAAATCCTTTACACATCTGGTTCTTTCTGTATAGATCTTTGTTGCTGAAAATTTTAACAAATTAGAAAAATTAATGAATGAACTTTCAAGAAAAAAGCAAGAGTGGATAGCCAAAAACGTTAACGTTGATTTTGATACCTTGAAAATAAGCGAAGCAGCAAAAAAACTGGTGCTTTCACAAGCAATTACCACATCAACTCCGTCATCATCACCAAGTGACAATTCGACTGGTTCTCCAAAAGAATCAATAGTTAACCTACTGGATTTTTTTATAACACCATTACGGGCTAAGGAAACCCTGAGGGAAATGAATTCTTTATTTTCAAAGGAACAAGTTTTTGCCATAGATAATACTATTCTTCTTACGCCTGAACGAATGCCAATGAGCACTTATGATGACGATTTAATTTCTGACATTCAAATTTAAAAAAATATCATTATAAAAAGCGCTATTAATCCGGATAATCTATTATTACTAATAGATTTGAAGCATTAGTGGCCCGGATTATAATGATAAGTTTCAGGTTAGTGGTACGAATTGTCATGAAAAGCGTTGCTAGCTCAGATGGTTCATTTTTGGACGAAAGCGTTAGCAACCCGGCTTATGATAAAAGTACTAACGGCTTATTAATTATGTAAATAGAAAATCTATGTTCTAATTGTATCAATTTTGTCACTGATTCAGAAATTGCGCACATTTAAATATTAATAAGATACACGAAGATTTGTTGAATATTGATTTTTTATTGTGCAATAAACTTATCGCCATGTAAAGTAATACACACATGATTAAACATAAATCTCTCGTAGAAACCATAAAGTTATATAAATCTTATTAAATCATTAGTGAAAGGCAAGAATGGAGATAAGGGATATGATTTATCGTTATAGAGGTGATGCCATGATCATATGATCTCACGGACCCGTAGGTTCGTTAAGCATGTGATATTTTATCTTCAAGGCAGCCGCTAATGCATCCTTTTTTAGAGTTTATTTTATTATCTGAAAGATCTAAAAAAGATAGGGTAGAGTTTTTGCAAAGAGCATCCCAACATTTACCTCGTTTAGATTATGACAGTAATAAAAGTAGTGTTATCGGTTTTATATAGCTGTAAGTTATGCCACTCAAAATAATGCTCCGGGACGTTATTTCTTTTTGGTTTTTATTTTCTTTCTTTTTTAATTTTTTTTTTTCCTTTCCATTTTAATTTTTAGCTTCAAGCAATTCTATATCTTTTCTAACTTTTTATAGTCTACTATACAGTATATATTATTTGTATTCTTGGAAAGAAAAAAATTAATTGAAAAAAACTAATTCTGCGATATTAATAATAAATCCGCTAAATAAGAAAAAAGTAACTAAAAATAAATATGGAATCACTTTGCTGTGATGGAGGCTAGTCAATAGAAAAGTTAGTTAATTTAGGGCATTAAAAACAAAAGTCGCGAAAATAATACAACATTAAAAACTCAGTTCGTTCTCCGACGGCATCATGATGCCGTAGGAGAATGAAATGAGTTCGAGGTCGTCTAAAGCAGCATGATAGAGGCTTGTTTTAATTGGTTGTTGATTCAGATTATCAGATTAAATTTGATTGGCTGGTAGATCATGCACTATAATATTTGTTCTATGAAATCGTACGAAAATCTATCACTTATACGTATAATAGCGATAGTACGTATCAAAATAATTTACATTTTTTTATTAATATATTTAACAAACAAACTTTGTTTTTTATAAAGATATTCATTAGTTGATTAGTTATTATATAAAATCTCAAAATCTGATTGGCTGGCCCAAAGCCTCCTTTTGCTGTGGGCACCCCAATATACACAGTCAATGGAAAAGTTAGTTAATTTATGCCATTGATGAGCATTAAAAACAAAAAGTCGCGAAAATAATACAATATTAAAATAAAATTATTTACGATTATACTGTACTACTATACATATATAATATAGGGTGAGTCAATAGCGATAGAAATCAAGCAAATTGTTTTTATTGAATTGTTTTTAAAACTTTAAATGCTAATAACTTAACAAAAACTTGATCAAAATTGTTTTAAATAAATTCTATAAGTTTGTAGAATTTATTTAAATTTTTTTATTAAATTTGATTAAGTTGTTGTTAAGTTATTGTTATTCAAAGTTTTAAAAAAATTTATTTGGAAAAAATTTGCTTGATTTCTATTGACTCAACCCCATATATATATTATGAGTACAGTATGCTAGTTTTATATACTCAAATGCGATTTTTGTAACATACACCACTACTTTACTGAACCATACATTATTTACTAACTCAATAGCTAAAAAAAAAAAAAATCCATACGTAGAACATTAAATTCGCAAATTGTAATAAGTACATACGTACGTACAATCAAATTTATACTATTTTAGAAATAGATTCCAGAAATTATTGTGAACAAACTTGTTCTTTAAAAAAAAAGTGAAGTTTGAAACGAGGCCGAGCCGAAAGCTACAGAAAAAAAATTGGTAACATTACGGTGAAAAAACTAGAACTGGTTTTGAAAAGAGGCCGAGAGAAGCGAGCCTGAGAGATATAGAAAAAAATTATTACAGTTGTCTTCATAAATTCTGGAACAGCAAAAAATTTTCTGATGATCGAATCGATAAGTTACCGAGTCAGAATTAATAAGTTGCTGATATCAGCAGACGTTAGAAACTTATCGGTTCGTTTATCGATAATTTTTTGTTGTTCCACAAACAATTGTGATAATGTTATTGTATATAAAGAAAATGTAGAACCAGGTTTGAAAAGAGGTCGAGCGAAACGAGGCCGAGATATATAAAAAAATTGTTAAAAATCTAAGACTAATTATCTTTAGTTATACACTTATAATTTGTTCAAAACTAGTCTTATGTGTTGAGTTCTATTTCGTTAAAAAAGAAAACTCAAAAAATTTCTTAATTTTAATCAAGTAAAAACATTATATCGAATTATTGGTCAGTTGAAGCTGGGCGGCTTCGCCGCCCGCATATGCAACGTCTAGTTTATATGTAACAATGGGCTGTTTTAATACGTAACACCCAATATAGCCATCAAAAAACCATTTTTATCGCACACCCGAAACGTTAGTGTTTATGAACATTTTAGAAATCACATAATATCCGAACATAGGTCTCTCTAGTTATTACAGTATATCGATATTTATTCAAATGTGTAATTGTACCATGCCAACTCAAAAAATGAATAAAAGGGCATGCTTAGTTACTTATTCTATCACGCATTAACATTTCTAAGATTGCATAATTACAGTCAGAAATAACGGAAATAGAAGATTTCAATATTTCTAGGTGGCCACTGATAAGTTTAACTTGAAGTGTGTTGATTCTATTTCCTTTTTCTGCTTTATCCAGCTTGTTAAGGATATTAGGAAGTATCTTTCTTTGCTCATTCCACCAAATGTTAAATTTAGAAAGTGATATAGCAATTTCTGCGAATGCTTCAGTTAAATCTGATAAATATTTGATTAATCCTGTTTTTTCTTCCTTTAAATTATTTTTATCATTTATAGATTCAACTAAAGCATTAATTATAGTTTTTTGTCTTGCGGCATTATTCCCTATAAAAAAAATATCAGATTACGTTCGCAATATTTTTTTCATTATCAAAACTTAATATAACTTACCGTCTAAATAATCAGCAGATAGGTATAAAATTGCACAGATGACTGCAATTTCTGGTCCTAGAATCGCTCCATAACAACCAGTTATTCCTACAGCAAGAACTCTCATCCAGAGTTTTGGTTTAATTTTATCATATAATTTTTCCCCTTTTTGTTTTTTATTTTCAGCATTTTTTAATTCAACTTTTATTTCAGCAATTTTTTTTTCGATTTCATCTTTATGAGGTTTAGATTCTCCCTTAAAATCAACAAATTCTCCTACAATATTCATGAGTTGTTTGAATAAATCCTGTGAAATTGCATCATAATCTTTGGTTTCATCAGATAATGATTTTAGCTCTTCAATGATATCTTCCTTATGAATTGTTTCATCAGCAACAAGATCTATGACCCCTTTCAAGTCCACAATATAGCTTGATAATTTGGTGCAGTAATCAACAGACTTCTCAGCAAACATTCGAAATTCCAAACGAATATTAGTAACTTTGTCTATTAATTGTTTTTTAATTCTTAAATCATCAGTCTCAACTTGTGTACAGTTTGAAAATGTTCTTATACATTCTGTCATACTAGTTTTAAAGGCCTGTACTATTTCTTGGAAATTATCGGATTCGCTCGCTTTCATTTTAGAGGAAGCTTGTATGTCAGAGGAAGCTGTTTCTTGGAAAATATCAGATTTACTCACTTTCATTTTAGAGGACGCTTGTATGTCAGGGGAAACTGTTTCTTGGAAAATATCGGATTCGACCATTTTCATTTTGGAGGTTTATTGTGTGGTTCAGAAATTTTTTCTAAATATTCCGTTTATAAAATTTATAGAAGAGAGTCACTATTTATTGATATTCAAATTAAAATACAGATGTGATATTTTTTTGAATTATAACTTATCCAGTGTTATGATATCTGAAATTATATAAATTATTTATGAAATCAAACTTAAAAAACGACAAAAGTATCAAACATATGACAGTTACCGTAGTTTCTATGTACTTGGAATTAAAATTCATGGCAATGCTGCATACACGAACAATATTTTTCTTTTTCCTCAAGACATTAATGATAAAACAAATGTAGATCCTAACCCACTTTAGGTGATCTCAAAAAGAAGGAAATGTGGATACATTACATCAATCAAGTTATGATCGCATTACATCAATGCAAAACAATTGTATCTTAAAAAAGTAAAATTGGGATTGATAAGGATTTAGATTTGAACTTATATATACTTCCGTGGGAAAGTTCACTTACAGTGTACGTATACTTCAATCTCTCTACGTATATAGATAATGCATAAACTCGTATCAATTAAAAGCAAATTTCTTAGCAGGAATTGCTTTGCATAGAAATAACACGCCATGAATAAAAATGTAATTATAGCAACTATTTATGTATATACTACAAGTAGAACAATAAATCTTTTTTACAAGTATTCTTTCAAAAATCTTTGGTATGATATGTGACTTCCCCAAATATTTTCTATATTATATAAATTCTTTTTGTATCTCTTTCACATGTAATTTAAAAGATTAGAAGATATTTGGAAAAGTTGCATATCACACAGATTTTTGAAAGAATACTTGTCGAAAATGCTTATTGTTCTGCCTCTGTACTACTGAAACTTAGATAAGTCACTATTAAGAATGACTAATTAGTTTAAATGAGTTAGTTATTATAGTCACTATTCTATATAATGTATTGAGGTTTTTAGATTTCTTGTACCGTACCTCATTGCTTCCAATTTCGAAATTGTTCCTATTTTACACAATCTTTTTTCGCACTCATTCATATATCAAATCTTTACAAATGCAAAATTCGAAAGACATAAAGAAAAATCATTATCAAGGAAATAAAAATGAAAATGAGGTTGTTTTACATTCAAATTGTAAAGATTCTAAATTCGAGTTATGTAAAACGGTCTTGAAAAATATCTTATCTCCCACAAATCGACCGGATGAAGGGATATTTAAAGTCTTAAAATCTTTACAAAAATGTAAAGTACTAATTGAGAAATCCAAAATTACGAATATACAACAAATAACCGTCAATTTTATCAAATTTAGTGAAGATTTGTCTTCTGAACTTTATGAAGTTTCTTTATTCATTATTGATATTATTCAGTGTTTTAAAATTATTTTAAATGATACAGCTAAGGCCAGCGATTTGGTTGATGTGCTAGAAACTTCTCTTAATGGTTCTAATAAAAGGATTGGTTGTATTGAAGGTCTTGAAAATTACCTAGATAATATAAATAATGAGATAAGGCAAGGGTTATATAACTCAAATGTGAAGACGATTGAAATTGATAAAATTGATAAAGAAATTGATAAAGAAGTTAAAATAATTAATAATCAATTCAAACTGCTCATTAGCTTTTGGGAAAGCCACAAATGTCTAATTGATAATTTGGTTAAATTGTTATATGATCATATAAAAAAATCAACTTGTACATTAGAAATTTCAAAGGTTGATTACGAAGAGATAATAAGCTTATGGGCAAAAGTGATAGACAAGTGTAAGACTGATTATCTTAGAGCAAAGGATGCAATTGTAAAAGGTTCATTTCATACAGGTAAAAACTTTATTCTCTAATTATCTTTATTATTATTTAGCAATTTTTTAACATCATGAATTGTATGCGTATTATAGCCATCGATATATCAAATGATACTGGTAAAAAATATATATATTTATTGCATTGATTATATATTTCATATTTAATAATTAAATTCTCTTAACTAGGCGTTGGCCTCAGTAATATCGACTCAGACCCTGCTAATATCAATAATAACGGTAACAATTGGAGTTTAAACAGACTTGTTCTGTGTTCTGTTACGAGTATTTTGAGTTTGGTTGTTGTTTCTCAAGTGCCAAATTTTTTGAGAAATATATTTTTGAAATACATTTTAGCAAAATAGTAATGACGTATATTGTTGTATCACAAATAATTATTTCTATGAAGATAGCGGTAAAAGATAAAAATCTCATATATATTTTTGCTTTACGATTATTAAATTTTCAGTTTGATGCATCTATATTGATAAAAAGTAAAAACACGTGAGTAAATGTATAATCACTATGCTCAAAACAGTGTACATCGAATATTCCCGAACATCAAAACTCAACTATTGTTGTTATTACACTGCCTTTAATACCCGAGTAAAATATTAATTACCAAACTGGGCGACGAAGCCGTACACATGTTTAGTGATCTGCCATTAATAGCATTATAAAAAAGGCTATAAAAAGGCATGCCATGTTACTATTGGACATTTCTATTGGAAAATGACACATTCGACGTGGAAAATATTCGAAGATATGCTATAGGAATTAAAATTAGTTTATTTTATAATTTTATTCTTTTATTTTATTGGATTGTATTTTTATTATTCTATTTCACGTATATGATAAAGAAAATTTTGACACGATGTCCAGATATATGGTTTAATTAAATATAATGAAAAATCATCTTATAATTTAATCTGAAGGCATATTTTACTACGAAACCTAACACGTCAAAATGGATTAAATCCTTTTCCACGATAATATCTGCTTTTAGATATAGTTCCTTCATCATATTCTAGGTTTTCTTCGAAAATTACTGAATACATTATTGAGTGTAAGAGCTATGATTAAGATTTTAAAATTTATGGGAGGGTTTTCGGGCTGAACATTTTTACTTAGCGGGTGCAATAGTTAATGTTAACTTTTAACATAAGTATTATAAAAGATTTATTTCGCGATGATTCTGCCCCTTCCCCTCTCCTCTTCTCTTTGCACATTAATTTTTTTGTTTAGTTAAACAGTACATTTCATCAAACATCAATTAAATGAAATTCAAATATATATTGTTCTATTGTAGTCTGTCAAAATTGAATAATTATATGATATTATTTTTAACAACTATTTCGTAATTATTATCGTGACAAGAATTATTAGTATGCCATTATGCGAAACGCTTAATCACATGACTTTATCTCTGCCAATTTTAAGGCAAAGATACTGTATGCTGAAATTGGACTTATTTCAATTGGATTGATTGGATTTATTGGATAATTGGACAATTGAACAATTATATACAACCAATTTAGTCACAATTGAAAACGTTTAATTTGAAATTTTAACGTTGTTTACAATCATCAACAACTAAAGATTCCAGTTCTATTGTTTAAACAATTGAAAATTCAACAACATCTTGATGGTTTGTTGGTGTCAAATATAATTATTATTGAAAAGAGTAAACATGTGAATTTTACTTAAACGAATAATATTTAGGATTCTGAAAATGAGCACTTTAATTTACCAAATTATGTTCACCAGAGTTACGAATTAATTCTACTGACATTATCGTTATGTTTACCAGAATTACGAATTAATTATACCAAAATTATGTTTACCAGAGTTACGAATTAATTCTACCAAAATTATGTTTACGAATTAGTTCTACCATAGTTATGTTTACCAGAGTTATAAATTAAATTATACCAAAATTATGTTTACCAGAGTTACGAATTAATTGTTGTCTCTGTACGTGTTCTATGATTCTATTTTTTTAAGTCTTCTTAGTAACAGGTTTCTTCCTATTCGTTTGTATATACTTTGCTCTGGGAAATTGCTGGCTACACATAATTTTTTAACGATAACTGATGCAAACATAAATGATTATACGTCATAGTATTTCAGCATCGGTAAATGCTGAAATAAGTCATATGATTAGTCAGTTAAGTATAGATTTTAAAAGGCCCGCTCATGCCTTTTTTTATTTAAATCTATCGCTATACTGTATAATATTCGACATGTTATAAAAATATTTTAAATCATGGTATTCAAAATGAACTTTTCAAAGAAACTAAATCAATATTACAGATTAATTCAAGTACTAACAAGGTTTAGTAACCAGGTTAGTGAAATGCAAAAAAAATCACTTCTGCTACTACCAAATGTAATAAGACTTATTGATGGTAAGTTTAAAACAAATAGAGACTAAAATTACAGGGTTATTTATCAAGCAAGGATTTTTAATAATATATGAACTTTATTATGAAACTTTGGAGTCAACCGATTAAACTTTATCTTGATTTGAGGATTTTTTGTTAGATAAAGTTGAATATGGGCAACACAGTTAATTTGGCCAGCATTAAAATAATTCCGGCCCACGACCAACATAATTCCGCCCAGAACTATGGAGCAATTTTTAAACGGTTAAACGGTTCCAATTACTAGTCTTTGTCAACGCTAAAGCATGAAACAAATTTATACGTATGGGTTAAGTTAGTATAAATGCCCCATATTTTTTCCAAGTAAAATTTTTTATCAAAACTTTAAACAGTATCTCTGCGTCTACCGACGCAGAGATAGTGTCATGTGATGTTAAAGCTATGTTAAATAAAATGAGATGAACTTGAGATTAGTATTTTTGCATCATGTATTTGAAATTTAACATAAATTTATCAAACATTTACAATTAAAAGAGAATTAAAAATAATGCTATAATAAGTTATAAGAAAGAGGAATACGAGTAGTTATAAATCGTCAAGTTAGAAATTGAAGTGCTAAAGCAAAACAGCTTTAAGATTAATTTCGATGTAAGTTAAAATTTAATTTCCCGGTGTAATATCATATGACGTGTTCAAAAGTCATGCATCACATAACTATGTAATTTTATTTAAAAAAGGGATATTTAATATTCTGAAAATGAAAATTTAAATATACGCTATACAAGTAAACTTCTTTGCAAGATATGGATATAGTAACTTCTACGTAATAACAAATTAAAACAGATTTGGCGCCTGTGTTTTAGTATAATATAATAATGGTAACGGAAGCATCTTCGTGACAAAATACAATGATAGAATTGACTTCGTAGAATATAAATATTGTTATCAATTGTACGTATTTGTTGTTCAAGAAGGCGAATTTCTCTAGAATTAGGTCAAATAGTATTAGATGTGTACTAATTGTATTTATTAAACAACTAATTTAAATTTATAATACCTTATTTGTGCTTGAGTTTCTTCAAAAATTCTGAGAGACAGACGAATGGCAGGCATTATATAGAAGCTGTTCGCAAAAATATTTAACGTGTAAGCAGCTCATAAAAGAATTTTAAAGTTTCTTTTATGCCATTTTTTTCACTAATAAGCAAATTTTTAGAGTTTTTTTTTTGCATTAGCACAGCCTTTCATCATTACAAGTTGATTTGTTTTTAATAAATATGAATTCTTTAAACTATACTCTTCAAACTTGTTTTTTAACCTATCTTGAGAATTCAGGTTTATAAAGAGGGATTCAACGCGTATGATTTACTAGAGCTTCTTGTGTTTCTAAAATTAATATAAACTCATACTTAATAATTTCATAAATTTACTTTACCGGTATGTTAGTTGCAATATGTAAAGGAATTATATTACATATTTTCTAAGGCAAGATTTTTAAGTATTTAGAATAAATTTTATTATAACGAATATGTTAAATGAAATTTTTTTCAAATAATTACAAATTAAAATCAATTTCCTTTTGCCCAATCATTATTCCAACGCCTGGGATCACTATATGAATAAGTCTTGGGACATTGTTCTTCCTCATCGTGATAAACAGCTTTACATCTTGTCGAACAATTTGAACACTTGATCTTTTCTTTCCATTCTTGGCTCATGACTTCAAGCAATTTCAGCTCATAACTCATGATTTCAGAAAATTTTGGAGCAAACCAACAATCATTCGTATTATGATTATTTTTTTGACAGCGTCTGTACCACTTATAATTATTATATTCAACTTTACCCCATGGGAAAGGTGGATATTTCGGTCTTGGACCCATCCTTCTTCCTCTCGGTCTAGAGTAAGTGGTTATTGATCAGTGTTTCATACATTATGTTTCATACAAGTATTTGAATATACTCACAGCCCATTATTTAAAATATAATATCAGTGATTTTGATCTTAGTACAATACTTTTACACCTCGATTTATATGTCTTCACAAAGTATACATGTGACTTTTTAAATATAGCACAAAAAATTTATGTATATATATATGTGCCAAAGGAAAACCCCCGAATTTTTCTAATAAGAATTAACAGGTTTTCCTTTACGGCACTCATATACTGGTTAAATGCCTACCGATTATATATTTTATAGAAATAAATAATATTAATTGGTTTTTTGCACTGATAAATCATATGTCGACAATATACTGTATATACTGTAAATATATACTGTATATTTGAGCAAGATAAGTAACATATTGCATAATTTATTACAATGCAGTATCACACTGTTTAAGCACCATGTGCATTTAGTTATAATTTATTATAATACAATATATAATACATACGTACTGTACCGTACATACGTTGATAAATAATTTTAAAGTCAAATATAGTCTATTGACAATACCGGTTTATTTTATTATTGGATAGTCTTTTAAATCTGTCCTGTATATTTGTGAAATATAATAGCATATATATAAATATTATCACTGGTGATTTACGGTTTGGTTAAAAGCCTTCTTTTGTATTTTAATAGAAAAATACTGAATTACACTTTTTAGTGAATTGCAATTTTAATTGTAATTACCTTAAAGTCATGGCTTTTGCTTATAAAAAATATTGGTGTTATTGTTGTAAAGAAGTGGGTCATACATATGCCAATTGTTTTTTGAAAAAATCAATAAATAAAAAATCCGAACACTTACTTTCTCAAGGAGCATTGGAGCTTTATAAGGTAAGTTATATAACGAAAGAATTATAGCTGGTAGCATAAAAGTCACCTTATATAATCACGTGTTTAAAAATATTTTTTAGCAATTACTCCCCACAGAGGAAAATTACGTAAAAAGACGCAAATTAGTTGTGAAGATCAAGAATATTTTAAGCGAAGAAGTTTATTTGTTTGGGTAATGTTTTTTTGTTATGTAAAATAGGAAATCCATACATTTTTTTTAATTAAAACATACTCTTACCAAGATCGTCTGTGAATCTTCTTGGAACGGTAACTTCTGATGTTGATATATGCGTTTCGACACCAAGTAGCGAATTAGAAAATGTATTTACATTGTCTGAAATATTACAAGAACGTGTGTAAATCATATTTCTTAATTTGTGTTAAAAAAGTTAATAAGTTAATTAATCTTTTGAATGTTAAAAAATAGATAACATGGAAATAGTTGAGTGCGTTTCAGATGCTAAAGTGCCTATCGTTAAGTTTTGGGATCCTAATTTGTATGTAAATTTGTAATGCTTTAATTATATTGTCGATTTGAGCTTAATTTTCAATTTTTAAATCACAGAAAATTAGTATGCGATGTTAATGTTAATAATACTATTGGAATATATAATACGCAACTATTAAGAAGTTATGTTGAAATTGATCAAAGAATTCGACCTTTGGTAATGATAATAAAACATTGGGCACGACAACGAGGTTTGAATAACGCTGGTACGTGTCTTGTTAATTATGAAATCCATTATTAAATATGAAATCTATTATTAAAGATCTGGTATTAATATGATACTATACGAATTTACCTAATTATAAGCTCGTGGAACTTTGTCTTCGTACACTTGGGTGTGCATAGTCTTGAATTTCTTACAAATGTGTGATCCACCAATATTACCAGTGCTTCAAATTCCCGATATTCCTTTAAATAATGAGATTGATTTATCAGTTTACAATGATATTGATTCATACAAAGGATTTGGTAAGCAAAATCAAGAATCGATTGGGGGACTATTATTTGCATTTTTTAAATGGTGGGTTATAATACCTATAATTATTGCTTTCTTATTGCGGCCGATAAAATCGGCTGATGCTGAAATTTAAACATATTTTGATATGACAAGTTTAAAATTTTATGGACATTCTTTTTTAATAAATATTTAGTAGGTTTATATTTACAAATTGAGATTCTAAACTTCAGCATCAGCTGTAACAATTACATGACTTTCGAAAAACTAAAATTTTATCGCTTTGTTCAGTTTTGCTTATGAATTTGATTATAAGAGTAAAGTCATATCCCTTCGACAAGGAAAATTCATTACCAAGCGGGAAAAAAGGTGGGGCTATTGGAAGCTATGCATAGAAGAACCTTTTGACACGTCAAGAAATCTTGGAAATGGTATAAATCATGTTAGCTTTAAAAGGATTATTAATGAATTTCGTAGGGCTTTTAGAATTCTCTACAAATATGCAAACCTTAACATTTGTTGCAAAATTACATACCGAACACCATTTGACGATTTTTGCGATGAATGTGAACAAAAAGATGGAACGTTTTTTATTTCTAAAAAAGTTTTAAAAAAAACACAATTATATTTGGAATTAAAGAGTCGCATTTTGGGTTCGGATAATTTAGATCTGGGATTAATAAACCATATTTTAGGATAAGATACATTTTCTATTATTATTTTTTTTATTAATTTTTCTTAATATTCAATTATAAACAAAATTGTGGCAAGCGAAAAAAGATCTTGAAAATACTTTTAATTGACCTTTCCATTTCATATTCTCTAAATTTCTTATTTGTTAATGTAAGGAGTCTATTTTATGATCCTTTCTTTTTTATAGAATCACAACTTACTCTCGTTATAGTGAACCCTCGATATAGTGAAGAGTTTTGAATTATGGAATTATTAAACTTCAACTCGATATGGTGAAGAAATATAGTATTTCCTCGATACGTATAAACTATAGTGATGATTTATTTTTCAACCCGATGACTTCACTATAATGAGTTAGAGTTGTATATATATTTTTTAGCTGAATAATTTCTCATAATTATTTTGTAATCTTATAATTTGTACATTTTCGATTTTTTAATAAGGATTTTTAGAAAAAACATTAGATGCCATTGTGGGACCACCATCTTTACACACGTATGTCGACCTAAGCGAAGCATAATTCGCTAAAAGATTTTTAATTTATATACTTTAATAATATGATGGCAAATTTTATAGCGCTACAAATTCAATAAGATACAATTTAATTAAATATTTTACAATTCAAAGTTTTTTACAAATTCTAAAGGTTAATTTTTTCAGTTATTCAAAATAATAATTCTTTACACAGAAATAGCTTTTAATGATGATTGTTCTTTTTAATTCTACGAATTATCCTAATGAGGTTTACAATTATTTTTTCTTTATTAGGATTAGATATTTCGACTAGTTCTATTTTTTCTTCAAAGTTATCAATTAATTTCTGTTGATTGGCAATCTTTTTCTCATTATTTATACATTCTCCGATTTTATTTTTTAAAGTTTGTAGTAATGTTTTATTTATTTTTTTTGATTTCTTAAGGTCTTTAAATTTCTCTGCAATTGTACTTTGGAAATTTAATTGCACTTGACACATTTTGTCTTGAAGGCCTTTGTATATTTCATCTTTTTGGATGATTTGCTGACAGAGAAGATTTATTTCGCGTTTAAGGAGAAAATTATCATTTCTGATTCGTTCATTTTTTTGTTTAATAAGCAAGCTATCACATCTAATTCGTTCATTTTCTTGTTTAATAAGCAAGCTATCACATCTAATTCGTTCATTTTCTTGTTTAAGTAGCAAAATTTCATTTCTGATTCGTTCATTTTCTTGTTTAAAGAGCAAATTTTCATTTCTGGGTTGATCCTTTTTTTGTTTTTCTTCATTTATCTGTTCATTGTGAGGTTCATTAGTCTCCTCCTCATCGTCATCCACTTTAATAACCAATATCGAATAATCGTCATCAGCATTGGTTTCTTCGGAATTGTCATCAGCATTGGTTTCTTTGGAATTAGAAGTATTATAAAAATTAAAAAAAGTAAGAGTAAAAAGATAAAAAATATAATAAACAGTTTTGAAAGTGCAAATAGCGAAAATGATATCCATTTTGTGAATTAGATTCCCAGGAATGATTCTGCAAAATTTAAATACTTTCGTGTGAATTCGACTTCTGCACAACTTTTCTTAATCAGCTAGAAAAGAATCTTTGTCTGATTCAAAATTTTTTTTTACAATAAAAACCAGATTGTTCGCAAATGTGCAGTATCACGCAGCGTTTTGAGGCTTAGTACGCGTACTAAAACGCGCTCGGTTCTATTATGTTACCCAATCCTAATTAAATAATTAAATAATTTTATAAATTTAATTCAGATTATACAATAAAGTTCAGAACCGAATTTATTTTTTACATAATAAATTCGGCACCAATTTCTTCAGATTTCACGTGTGTTATATTACCACATGACTTGGAATGTATATTACGGTTTTTATCAATGTTAATCTAAATGAACAAATTGTAACTGTAACATTTAATATACCGTATAAATTATTTGTTGGTTATAATATGAAAACCGGTTTTTATAATAAAAGATGTTACTATATATGCGGTATATCGAATTTTTCGTTTTCAGGTTCGCTATAAAAAGGCTTATTAAATCCAGAGCTGACTATTATATGCGTACTTTGTCGTTATAACTGTTTTGAATTTTGAAAATCTATTCTAAAAAAATGGCACCAAAAAGAAAACACGAGATGATCGATGTAGAAATACCCAAACTACCTACACATGATTCAAAACGCACAAAATTGTTTGTTATTGGTAGCAACGATTGTGGTGAACTCGGCTTAGGTGACAGTTTTAAAGAAGTGAAATATCCTAGACATGCTAAAAGTTTGGTCGATTTTCCTATTGTGAAAATTAGTTGTGGAAGTTTACACGTAGCAGCTCTAACTCGAGATGGAAAGGTAAAAAAATTAACATATATTTGACAACAAAAAATTCAAATTTATTAAAATATTCTTGTTTTTTTAGGTTGTTACTTGGGGTTGCAATGATGAAGGTAGGATGTATTCATGAGTTATTAATTTTAAGTTTTTTTTTACTATATAACCTGATTTTTAATATCTTTAAAGGTGCATTGGGCAGAGTTACTAAAAGTGAAGAAAATCCAAATGAAACTGATGAAAATGTACCAGCATATGCTCAAGGTCTTGATAATATAATTATAGTCAAGGTCGCTTGTGGTTCAAATATAACGTTTGCTTTATCTGATAAAGGCCAATTATATGCTACAGGAACATTTAGGGTATGTATTTGTTTTTCAAAATGACGTAAGATTAATATTTTCATCATAATAATTTGCATTTTACATTTAAGGATAATAACGGGAATACTGGGTTTACCTCAGCAATTAATAAGCAATCAATGTTCGTGAAATACGGCCCTACTTCCCACTTAAAAATTGCTGACATCGCTGTCGGAGACAATCACGCGTTAATGTTAACGACTCAAGGTGATTTATACACTTTTGGATGCATGGATTCTTATCAGCTTGGAAGAAGAATATCGGTACGTAAGCCTAATGGCTTAAGATTGATTCCTGAAAAAATATCAATAAACCGAATTATAAAGGTTTTTGCTGGCGGATACCACAGTTTCGCGGTCGGTGATGGTGGAATTACGTATATATGGGGTCAAAATGCGGAGGGTCAATGTGGTATTGAATCGCCGAATCCTATTGTAACTCCAATGAGGTTAGAATTCTTCGAAAATTTATCCAGTGTGAAACAAATTTCCGCAGGACTTCACCATACGTTGGTCCTTCTAGAAAATGGTGATGTTTATAGTTTTGGCAACACTAGATATGGACAATTAGGCATTGGTGCTTCGGAAGGAAACCGAAAGTCTCCTGTCCAAATTAATCTTGATAAATGCGACTGGAGATCATCATCCTATGACTGTCAATAATGAAAATAAGGTATATACTTAGGGTTTTGGCGGAACATATGCCCTGGGAAATCGAAGTGAAAATAACGAGTTATTACCATTCGAACTTAAATGTAAAGAATTTGGGGAAATTTCAGCAATTGGGGAAGGTAGCCAATATTCGGTTATATTATCTAATTTTCCTAATTGAGTCTACTAACATAGTTTAAAATATCATTTTCGACATTAATTAATGTAATATAATTTGTTGTAAAGTTCCTACTTTTGTAAATAAAGATATTTTTCTCATTACAAAAAAGGGTCAATACAATTTACGTACTTAATTTATGAGTTAGTAGCGTAGTTTTCGCACAAGTTAACTGGTTTCAC